GATGCAAAGACCCTATGAGTGAATCAATATCAATACCAAAATATGCCATCTTTAATGACCTGACAACATTATCGTAACTATATCCCTTCTGAATAAGTCTGTTTAAAGGTTTGGTTAGCTGTTGAGGTGAATGTCGACATTTTTGTGCTTTGTATAGAATATTACCATAAAAGATTGGATGTGAAATACCTGAACGTATAAGATGTCTGCATGTTGATTTATATTTACGAATGATGTCCTTGTATCGATGATAAAATTTAGTAAATGTTTTTACTAGTTTTCAAAAACCCTGGTGTAATAATTTTTCAGTAATACAGAGGTTTCTTTCGTTAGAATCAAATACGTTGTTACATATACGAGCGAATCGAAAACGTTGAGATATACAAACACCATAAGATGGTGACAAGGGAACGTCACCATCTAAAAATGGATAATTAACAATAGGAAATGAAAAATCATCTCTTTTATCATAAATTTTGGTATTAAACTTCCCGTTAAAGATATAGATATCAAGATCCAGGAAAGGGCAGTGTTCATTGTTAGTATTAGCTTTAATTAAAGTCAGTTCAGCAGGATAAATCTCTTTAGTGTACATACTGAAGTCGTCATTATTGAGGGCTAATATATCATCCAAATATCTAAAAGTGTTATGTAATTTTTGTATCAGATGTTGTTTTGATGGGTCTTTGCTGATTTTAGTCATAAATTGTAACTCATAATAATACCAAAACAGGTCCGCAATAAGTGGTGCACAGTTAGTCCCCATTGGAATTCCGATAACTTGACGATATACGGAATCTCCATAGCGAACAAATCTGTTATCTAGTAAAAATTCAAGGGCAGTAATCGTATCAAAACAGGTCCAATTGACATAGTTCTTTTGTCTGTTGTTACTAAAAAATGACCTAAAAGAGTTAGAACATATATATTCGCATTATGACTTTTTAAATGCCCATTTGATTAGGTGTGTGAATTTTTTCTTAATAAGATTATAAGGCAAAGTGATATATAGGGTAAAAAAATCAAAACTTTGAACAGATTCGAAATCACCAATATAAGCATGCAATTTATCAAGTACTTCCTCCGAATTTTTAACACTCCAAAAGTAAAAAATTCCACTATTTTGAAAGGCCTTACTTGAACAATTTATTACCAGATTTTTGATTGTACCAAGTGTACTAGTAAGTAGAATAGAGAGCTTAGTAGTGGAACAATGGCTTGAAGACGAAATAAATCAATATTTGTAAGGTGTTTTGTGCAGCTTCGGAAGCCAGTACATATTTGGAACTTTCATTGTATTTGGTTTTCTTGTAAAGAAGTAGCTAAAAGTTTATGTTTGTTACAGATGTCATTTTCCGAAATTGGAGTCAGTTTGAATGTTGGTCAATTCGTGATATCATTTTGCAGAACCTCAATGTAATATTTACGTAAAAAAATAATGATACTATTAGTAGCCTTATCAGCCGAGACAAACACAAAAGCCTTGGCGAGTTCTTTTAGCTTATGTTTGATACGAGAAATAGGGCTATTATGGTTGTTGTTAGGAGTAAAATGTTTTTTAAAATAATTAATACGAATATCAACTATGTTCATTACTGAATTAAAAAAAGAATCTAAGGATTTTTAGTCAGCTTTTTCTCGTTTTAACCATTTCGAGCAGTAAGTACGGAGTGAGTCGTGGATGATGTTACGACACTCATTCCAATTAATAATTGACGGGGGACGATATTTAGGTCCTTTACTTAGGAATGATTTCAACTCTCGGTCATGAACGATGTTAAGGTCTGCTGTTATAACATGGGAATTGGGGCCATAGATGTATTCGGAAATGCTGCAATTTCATGACGTAGGTGTATTGTCACTGATACTAACATTTTTACACACTTCGCTATAATTAAACACATATTTCCGGTTAGAATTTTTGTAAACATAACAAATAAGAGGGAGTTCAGTATTATCAAAATAGCCAGGAATTTGTTCTTTAACAGAATGATCATTGAAAATACCGGCAATATTTACAAAATCAAAACCTTTATCGACATATTTGATTTTATTAAAATGTTTTTTATGATCTTCAAGGCAATCAATTTTGGTAAACAGTTTAGAATAACAATATGCAATTATGATTTGGACGATTTCGTACTTAGGACTGCAATATGGAATTGTGTTGCAATCCTCTAGAATTTGATGTAATTTATTATCAGGTAAAGAACAGAGCTTGGATTACAGATAATGTCTGCCGTTGTTTTTTGAAATAGTAATTAGGTCCGAAATATTTGTATTGTTGTTACGATTGCGATTGCGATTTATTCTACGCCCATGAGAACGGTTTTTACGAAGAGTTTTAGAAACTGTATCCAAAATGTTAACAGAATCGGTTCTTGATATATTACCAATTCCCATGATATTATCATTAAGACAGAGAGATTAGACTGTCTGTAATTTTTTAATCCAATTTAATTCAATTATTTTCCGTGATCGTACAAACTTTGAATGAGATTCCCCAGGCTGCTTATTTACTACTTTTAAAGGTTGAACTGTTAAATGTTTAATGGAATGATTGTGCTTCTTAAGGTGTTGATAAATGATACTTTTGAATTTATGGGGTCTTTTAAAACGATAAAGGTGTTCTTGCGTGCGTTTAGATAAATAGCGTTGAGTTTCACCTACGTACTGAATACCGCATCCTGGTTTGTTTCATGTGAGTAAATAGATAATACTGTTAGTTTTTCAATTTATATCAGTTTCAAAATTTACGGAAAATGTGCGACCATTAAACGTGGACCTTACCGTATTGTTGGTGGAAAGACGGGGTCATGTAAGTCATTTTTTAGCATGACACTTATCGCTAGAAGGGTAACCACGATTTTTATTATTTTTTATTTATTATTTAGTATTTTTAGATAATCGATTTTGAAGATTGAGACGTTAAGATACCCTTTGAACGAGTTCGGTATTTAGTATTTTTCCATTTCTGAGTTTCATTTTTTGTTTTTGTTATCCGTATTTCCAATTGAAAGGAGCAAAGACTGGCGTCCAGAATATGAACCAGAACACAGGAATTGAATAAAGTAAAAAGATAAAACTGTTCGGCTAAGGACGTCAAACGCTATCCGTCATCAAGTACCCGACAAAATACGTAAACTAGACAACTAGAGGACAAAAACAAAAGACAGGGTATATCAGGGTAGCGTCTGACGTCTGACTAAATAGTAGAATGGGACTGAATAGTGAAATATGAGTTTAGATAAATATTCCTAAAGTAATGAACATAGAGAAGTTCTCGCTCGGACACACACTCCATTATCTTGTTTATTATAAGAACAAGGGGAGGCACTCTATTGTCTGAATTCGGCACTAAAGACAAACTCTGTAAAAAATAAAATGGAAAATGGAAATGGGGAATGTGTCAAAGAGACAACAACACGACCAAAGAGCAGAAAATAGCCGAAGGCTACCAATGAGTCTTCAACCTAGCGAGAATATCCCGCAGACGGAGGCGGGCTTCAGCTGGTCCCCTAAATAAAAATGTGTACTAGTTCAGTAAAAATTGATGTCATACTAAACTCCAAAACATGTAAATGAACTAAAATTAAAAAAACATACAAGACTAACAAAGGCCAGAGGCTCCTGACTTGGGACAGGCGCAAACATGCGGCGGGGTTAAACATGTTTTGTGAGATCTCAACCCTCCCCTATACCTCTAGCCAATGTAGAACAAACAAACAAACAGCAATACGCACAGTAAAACTCAGTTTAAAAGAATTCCGAGTCCGATGTCAGAAAAGGTAACAAAAGAAACTAAGCAAAATGACAATGATACATAAATTAACAAAGGACTACTAGCAGTTACTGACATGCCAGCTTCAGACCTCAATTAAACTGATTGAGAGATTATGTCTTCATCATATGAAAATCAAGCACAATCCCTCCCGTTAGGGGTTTAGTATCATACCATCATAAAATATATGAGAAGAACATAACCTGTATCATGCCAACAACTGGTTTTAGAATAAATGTGTTTATTTCCGATGCAAAGAGTCTTCATTGCTCTTCACTTACATACTTGGTTTGGGCTTTACACTCTTTTCATTAGAGTGTTACTGATGAGTCTAGTGCAGACGAAACGCGCGTCTGCGTACAAATTTACACTTCCGGTATCTTTGATGAGTTTGTACTCATATTTTGTTATCCTAATTACAGTGTTGGCCAACCTCACGATGAACAGAGAAAAAAAACAGCAAATGAAGATTTATATGTCGTATATTTTATATATGTTTTTGAAGTATAAGATTTTGGATCCCTTATAGTAGTATGATTTATAAAGTTAACGAAGCCTCGGGTATAACTGATTGTTAAAATGCATGACGGGTGATTCATTAATCAGTAGACGCTTATCCTGTTAAAACACCACTGAAAAACATGATCCTGACTTTGGACAGTCATGTAAAGAATGTGCCGGTGTTAAGCATGTTTTAAACGCTCAATCCTTCCCTAACCTGGGACAGTGGTGTAGCAGCACAACATAAAAACTAACTGTAAAAATCAGTTGCAAATTACTTAACTGAATGAATAATATATCGATACGAAGCAGAAAACACCCAACTACTAGTACCATAAAAAATTTAGACACAAAAACATTTTGAAGGCCAGAAAGATCATTCCGGAAATATTATCAAATATTAAGGAAAATATTATTATAATGATATCAATTAATGTAGTGTTCAATGCAATATTTTACGGAAATTCTTTTAAATAAACCAGGGTCTGCAAGCTTGTAATTTTTCTTGTACAATTCCATTAAAGTACTATCAGGTAAATTACAGACCAAAATATGCAATACATTAGTTTTGAAATAATAGCCACTAACGGTGAATACTAAACTTGTCAAAACATAAAGACATAACGACATGACATTCCTAAAAATAATTTAAATACAACTACATACTCAAATAACATGGTTTAACCGTAATAAGTGCAACATCTCATATTTCACTTACCTGAATTAACAATAGTAGCGACTTCCTATGTGAGGATATGAATATATATATATATATATATATATATATGTTGTTCCTGTCAGTTTTATAGGATTCTATACTAATAATCCAGGAAGACTATTGTAGATAAATTCACACATCAAAACGGTGATTCCCGGCCGGTCCTCTTAAGTGTTTGATAACTTGTACATCTATTTATACATGTAATGCATTTCTTACAAAGACTTTTAAATTCGTGGTAAAACGTCACGCCACCAGATTAGACAACCATTTATAACAAGTGTCTTATTTTATTCTTTAATTTTCGGATGTCGCTTTTTTTCTTTTGTTCATGTATATCTTATGTGTTATGCTCCTTTAAAATAAGACCTAAAAAGTAAACTTATTGCCTCCAATAATATAACTTTATGCAAAGATTAATGTACTTTCATTAGACAACCCCCTACCAAAACGAGGTCACTCTGATATAAATCTGATATACATCTGAAATTTACACCTCAGAAACAAAATAAAATACAAACATATAATTTGTAACTGTATGTATGGATGCATTTAGAAGAGTATTAAAGTCCGCTCCAACCACCTATATTTCAGTCTTTAAAGACTTAGATTATGTTTGACAAAGAGGCTGAAGATATCTAGCTAGGAGACATTTAAAACTAATAAGTCGAAGAGAAACTGACAACGCCATTGCAATAAAACGAAATACGACGAAAAGACAAACAAGTCCCCAAACACTACATAACCTCCAACTTTGGTTACTAGAAATAGACACCAAGGTACCTACTTGTTATAAAACTATCGGTATGGATAGTCTATGGGTACACAACTGGCATCAATCAATAATTGATCACCGTAATATCATGCTTTACTGATTTTGGTTACAGTTAATTCTAAGTTTAATTGTTTAATGGCGAGACACGATGGATGATATCGGCATTTTCCGATTCAAACGCAGTTATTTCAACAGTTTTAGCAATTTACCTATTTTATTTTCTTAATAGTTTTATTGTTTATGTTATGGTAACATTGTGTTTCTTAATCAGAAAGGGAAGCAAGGGTTATCAAAAAATTCATGCCAATACCAAAGCACTGACTTCTGACAGGAATTTTAAAGTCAAATTTAAGGCATTTTTTTCTCATTTCAGGTTTATGAAAGAAAGCTCCTTTTAGATTTTTGTTTAATTTTTCGTTTCAGAGTAACGAGACTTTTACGGTCAGATTTAAGGCAATTTTTTAGTTATCGCACACTCATTCGAGTTTTTTTTAGATTGACTAATCAAAACATTACGCTGTTAAAGAGTTGAAGGAATCTCCGGAGCTTTTTTATATCACCTGATCCGAAGAATCAGATGAGCTATTCTCATTATTTGTCGTTCTTCGTCCGTCGTCTGTTAATTGTTTCAAAAATCTTCTTTTCTGAAACTACTGGGCCAATTGGAACCAATTTTGGCCATAATCACCATTGTCAAAATTTGTCAAACAACTTGGCAGATTTGACAACAAATAGAACATAGACGTCAAATGTACGATAATAAGATAAGATATTCAAAAAGATAAATAGGCCGGAATTGTCATTTGACTCCTTATGTAAACAGTAAAAATGATCAGCAAAAAATAATAAAAAAAAAGAATATTTTATAATCATGAACTTTATTTATTAGTTGTAACTGGCTTTAAACTAGCTTTCAATAACTGCGAGTACTCTTATTTCGGTGCTTCGATTATAACACTACATCGCCTTATTAAGTCTCCCAAACGAAGTTTGGGAAGACACTTCTTCTTCTTCTTCTTCTTCTTCTTCTTCTTCCTCTTCCGCCGCTTTTAAATTTGAACTTGTCCGCACCTGTCCTCCAAAACCGATTGTTAGATTAACTTAGAATTTCACAATATGTTAGACTAACATGTTTAGTGGTGCAATCAGGGTTTTGTTTGTGCAATGGGGTTTATAAAGGGGTACTTTGAGGGGCAAAAAGAAAGGAGGGTTTTATTAAAGAACCCTATGGCATTTTATTTTTTAAAACTTTCAAGTGATTATAAATTGAAAACTGTTTGTGATAGACACAATCTTTTTAATTGAAAATGTTCTAAATGATAAAGCACATTAAATGAAATACAGGGTTAGTCCCCAGGGGTAATCCCGACCCCCTGCCATTTGAGAAAGGTCTAATATCTTGTAAATGGTCGAGATCCCCACCCCTAAACCATATATATTCTGGTTTGTCATGATAAAGCACATCAAATGAAATACAGGGTTAGTCCCAAGGGGTCACCCCCACCCCCTGCCATTTAAGAAAGTTCTAATATCTTGTAAGTGGTCAAGATTCCCACCCCTAAACCATATATATTCTGGTTTGTCATGCGAAGATGGTTTGAATGATATACAGGGTTAGTCCCCAGGGGTCACCCCGACCCCTGCCATTTGAGAAAGTTCTAATATCTTGTAAATGGTCGAGATGCCCACCCCTATACCATATATATTCCTGTTCGTCATGTCTCGAACATTTGAATGACGTATATGGTCAGTCCCCAGGGGTTTCCCCATCCCCAATGTTCTAGTATCTTGTAAATGGTCGAGATCCCCACCCCTTAACCATATATATTCCTGTTCGTCATGTCTCGAACATTTGAATGACGTATAGGGTCAGTCCACAGGGGTTCCCCCCACCCCCAATGTTCTAGTATCTTGTAAATGGTTGAGATCCCCACCCCTAAACCATATATATTCTGGTTTGTCATGCCAAGATGATTTGAATGATATACAGGGTTAGTCCCCCGGCATGATTGATGCATATAACTGCATATATACTGGACCAAACCAATTTTCACTGGACTTTGTCCAATGTCCGGCAACCCTGGGAATTACGAATTATGGGAGCTTCGTTTGGGAGACTTCGTAACAGCATCCTGATACAATCATTTCTTGTTTATATTTTGCCATAATGATAGAATATAGAATGGAAACGGGGAATGTGTCAAAGAGACAACAACCCGGCCAAAGAGTAGGAAACAGCCAAAGGCCACCAATGGGTCTTCAACGCAGCGATACAATCCCGTACCCAGAGGCGGGCTTCAACTGGCCTCTAAAAATAATGTATACAAGTTCAGCAAAATGGACGACACACTAAAGCTAAGACTAACAAAGGCTAGAAGTTCATGACTTGTGTTAGGCGCAAAAATGAAATGGGGTTTAACTTGTTTTGTTAGATATCAACCCTCCCCTATACCTCTAGCCAATATGAATCTCTAGTTGAATATTCCCTGGCTTGTCATTCCAGGGTTAACAGACTTTAATTGTCAGATTCATGTTAAATTTTCACTCGCTTAACACTAACTTGAGTACGCTTTCATAGATTTACTTTAAATTTTACACAGTTGTTAAAATTAACAAAAAGAATGTACCTTTTGAATGAAGTTTGTATTCCAGAGTTATGGGACTTTAACCTTCAGATTTAAGACAATTTTTCACATGTCTCGCACTAGCTCTAGTATTCCTGAATCAAATTACTACAAAATTTACAATTTTTTTGGAATTGTAAAAATACCTTGTGTTTGTAATAAAGGTACACATTTATCTAAAAATCAATAAAAAAAGTAAGTGATGCAATAATGTCAGCAAATTTCTGTTGTCTTTGCTATGATATTCTTACGTTTCCCGTAAATTTACATTAAACAGTTAAATTCATTTTTGATTGTGTAAATACGACATGTAATTTGACTGATCGAGACTATTTAGTTGGTGCTACAATTAAATATGCTGATGTCATCGAGGCGTAGCTTATGTGACGCAGTGAGTAATTTCCGCGTTCAGTGGAGTTCAGTTCAAGCTAATTAACCATGAAATCGAAGTACCTTACGATGAATATAATTCCCGAGACAAGGGAAATTCACTTTCTAAAAATTGTACCCAAGACGTTTTTTCGTATAGAAGTATCCATTACTATCAACAGATCCTCGTGTTTGAAAGAGATTTGGTATCAATAGTCTTCCATTTGTGATTCAGTAATAAATTAAGGCGACAGTAGTTTACCGATGTTCAAATCTCGTAAACCGATTTGGAAGAGACAAATTATGGTAACCAACAAAAACTGAGAGAATCACATGAACTCATACTTGATGAGTGGTTGTAAGACAGAACAGGACTTGTTGCTGTATTTTTGTATCTCATTTGTTGTTTAGTGCACGCAGGAGGTCGCTGTTTTTCTCGTTTGGATTGTTTGACATTTGTCTTGTCTGTGCCTTTTATTGTTTGTTTAAGCGGTTTTGGTATTGCTCATTGTTGAAGGCCATACGATGACCTATAGTTGCTAACATCTAAGTCATCAGGACTCAGATAGATGGTTAGAAAGTAGAACTAACGTTTCCATTGATAACCCTTATAAAGTCTAATAGTCTTTTAGATATTCATGTACAAAGAGGATTATTTTTGAAATATTTGTCCGTCGATTAAAATGCAAAGGGAGAAGACTTTCTTTTCATTTACAAAACCAGGGCATTCCATAATTTAATGTCATTCATCTCCTAGAGCTGACTTATCGCAGAGATTACAATTTCTTACAATAATATGCAAAAGGCCTCGTTCTTTATGTAACGAATGGCATAAAGATTTAAATCTCAAAAACTTGATAAATCATTATCCAAAACTATATCAAGTAAGTCTTCAGTAATAAAGTCACATGTCTTTGCTCATTGTTGAAGGCCGTACGGTTATCTAAAATTCCTATCTTCAATGTCATTTTGTCACTGGTAGAAAGATGTATAATTGGAAATCATACCACATCTTCTTATTTTTATAATGTTCATCATGATGTGAATTTTAGATATACGTTACATATGCCAATTTAGGTTTAAATCCAGATTTGTGAATACAAAGATATTATCGTGCGAGTTGGGCATGGTGTCCTATGGACAAAGTATAACAAAAATCGAATTCCAAGATAATTTCAAAAAGGGAAGTCTATAAAAACTGACAAAATCAAACGTTATCAACCAACGGAACGAGTGAAAAACAACTGTCATATTCCTGACTAGGTAACAGGAACTTCTTAGAAAGAAAGAAAAGATGTTAGCAATATCCGTTAACTTCACTTTCCGCTGTAGATATGATGTTCTCTCACTAAATAATTCAAAATTTGGTTACTATGTTGAACGCATCTATCCCATCGAACTTGAGATAAAGAACACAACAGATACAGTTAAGTCTGCCTTATATCTTGACTTACATATAGAAATTGATAATGAGGGTCGGTTGAAAACAAAACTTTACGACAAAAGAGATGAGTTCAGCTTCCCAATTGTGAACTTTCCATTTCTAAGTTGAAACATTACAGCAGCGCCTGCATACGGAGTATATATCTCCCAGTTGATACGATATTTAAGGGTTTGTATTTCTATAATGATTTCCTTGATAGAGGGTTGCTGCTCACAAGGAAGCTATTAAACCAAGAGTTCCTAGTGCTGAAGTTGAAATCATCCCTTTGTCAATTTTACGGACGCCATTACTAGTAAGTTGACCGTTATGGAATATCTGTTTCACAGATGACAATGGATATGTTCCAATTGTCGTAAATACAATCCCGTCCCCTTTTCCCCAAATGTG